ACTCTATATTATCATTTAGTAGTAGATGTTGTATGATATGGGGGTGAAGAGTGAGGAGAGACATTCAGTTTACAAAGTGACATTTTTCTGTTGCCAGATTCAGCAGCACAGGAGGAAAAAACTGTTTTTCCCCTCAACAGGCCAAATATGGTGACACTGGTAGAATTTCTTGTTATGTTTCTGTATTTCAATAAACTTTGATCAGTTTTTCTACCTGTACATCAAGGACAATACACACCCCGACCTCTTCAACCTGTTGCCTTCTGGCAGGAGCTTCAGGTCCATTCTCCAGCTGTCATCAAACTGAACTCAACTTTACACTGAGAACTGTTAATTTGTTAGTTTTTTTTGCACTTTGAAGGAGCAGCTCTGCATCTCATTATACTGTGTAAATGACAATAAATACTTTCTATTCTATTCTGTTCTATATGGAACCAAGTCTAATTTAACACTGGAGTTGAGAACTGTGCATGTCACAATATGGACTATATGAAAACGAGGCTATCATAAAAATGCGGCATAATCCCTTTCTTAGTCTAATTTGTTTAGTTATCAATTTTGTAATGTTGAACAACTATTTTTTTTCTAAACTCCAAAGCATTCAGGAGTTCACGAGTTTTCCTCGAGAATGTGACGGTTGTACAACTTAAATGACTTTGACACATGGGGGATACTGACAGACACATATGATAAAGGCTTTAAGCTAAGCCCCTGTACTTACTTAATGCTTCCTTATTTATTTATTTTTCAATCCAATAAAGTAATAAAGATATGGCTCTCATAAATACAATGAGCTTATAACTGACCTACCCTGGCAGGGACTCTTTCTGTTTTGGGCTCATAAATAGACTATTATTAGTAATTAACCTCTAAATATATATGAAACAAGATCAGCTGCATTGTTTTGTTTTGTGGAAGCAGTCGGGGTTACACAATACAGAACATGGTGTTCAAATATGTAGTATGTTATTAGGTTCTTTTTTCAAACCTAGAGTTTTGTTTCATACCTGACAGTTTCGACTGTTCACTAGCGTCTTCCTCAGAGTCACATGATGTTGCTGTGTCGTGTCTGGTCAGCTGATTTAAACAGGTTTGGCTCTGCCTTCCTACCGGTGGAGGCAGGACGACAGCGCCACCTGCAGTCTGACTTCCTCAGGACAGTATCCCAGGTGTGTGAGAGTAAAAAAAGTAAAAAATTCAAATATGTAGTGTTTTGACACGGACTCACACGGAGGTACCATTAGATGTAGGGGGGACTAATTGATATTACAGATTGGAATTTGAGAGTAGGGAGTATTATCTGTCCCTCTATATTCTGGTGCAGTGGGTGAGCAGGAGTGTCCATGATGGAGAGCGGTTTGTCCAGTGTCCTTGTGTCCCTCACTGTGACAAATGTCTCCAGGTCACAGTCGAACATGAGGATCAGTTTGATCTGCCTAATGTCCCTTTTACTGGAGCTGCTCCTCCACAGACCACAGCGAAATACAGGGAGGTGGCCTCACAATTTGGGAGAAGATCTCCAGTCACTTGCTGCAAACATTGAAAGACCTAAGCTTTCTCAGGAAGTCGAGTCTCCTCATGTTCTTCTTGTACATAGTTGTCCCTCCAGTCCAGTCTGTCGTTCACCTGGACACCGAGGTCCTTGTATCAGTCATTATTTCTACCTCATGGCCCTGGATGGTGATGGGCTCCACTGATGTCCTCTTCCTCCTGAAGTCAGTCTTGGTTCTTGGTTGCTTTGCCTGAGCTTGGTCTTGTTGCCCTGCCTGAGTTGGACCTTCAGCTGCCGTTGCATCCTCTTCACCTCGTTTTTGTCTCCAGAGTTGAAGGCCCACTTTTTCTTGTTGAGTAGATCCTTCAGCTGGCTGGTGATCCAGGGTTTGTTGTTGGGGTAACAGTGGACACAGCTGTACCCTCACAGAAGTTGATGTACTGACTCCACTTCCTTACAGTCCTAGTGGTGACAGTTTGCCTTTTCACTGCAGGGACATACAGAGGTGTTAATAGGACAAGACTGTGGTCTGATCGTCCCAGTGGGGGCAGGGCAGTGGCATTGTATGCCTCCTTAGAATTGACATACAGAAGGTCTAGAGTTTTATCCTCGGATGGGTAACACACTGTCCAAGGAAGTGTGGATGAAGTCACTAGGAATCAGAAGCAGAGCCTCTGGGTGTTTTAATTGCAGCTCAGCGACCACAGTGTATCCTGTCTAGGGTTGGGCACCGAAACCTGGTTCCAGGTAGGAACCGACTGAAAAGACCCGGTAAGTACTGGTACTGAAACATATTTGTTCAGTGCTGACTTTCAGTTCCTTGGCATTAAATGCCCGTATCAATGAGCCAAAACATGCACCGCACCGATTTAACAACAGTGCAGGTTACTGATAAAACAGGAGCTGAAGAAACTCCGTGAAACACCTCCAGTCTCCAGCGCAGGGCCTTTCTCAGAATCAAAGTGTGTAATAATAAATCCACATCCAGTGCTAATAAAATATGTAATAAATAATATTGTAACATCTTCCCTATGATCTTAGGATAATGAAAATGACCATCCAAGATCATATCTTTACAAATTACAGGTCTATTTCACTCCTCAGTTCTCAAAAAATCTTGAAAAGTATCTGACAACAGATTATACAAATTTATCCACTAACATAACCTAATTAACAATGTTTTTTTCATAACCTAATCAAAATGGTTTTAGAAGCAATAGATCCACCAGTGAACATAATAAATGCCACAGAGGAAATGTCAAAAGTTTATTGCAATAAAAAATATGCAGTGTTTTTTTTTTTTTTAGTAGATCTCAAATTTTTTCTTTACACAATCAATCATGAATTATTCCTCTACAAATCTGACTGATATGGAATATGAGGGAGTGCAAGGAACTGGGAAAACTGTCTAAGCCTCATCAGAACGTCTTGCTTGTGGTGTCCAACAGGGGTCAGTGTTGGACTTCAAATGATATGATCTGTATATTAATGATGATAATGTTTTTAGTGCATGTCAACTATTAAAATGCATATTTTATGCAGATGACAAAAACATATAAATTATTTTTAAATTTAAACAAAACTAAAGCAATTTAGTCCAGAAATTATAAATCAAATTCTATTAAACAAGACAGAGATAGATGATGTAACAACTGAAATGTCTCAACAATAAAATGTTAAGGTAGAACAACTGATAATAAACTAACTTGGAAAACACAGATCAGACGTGTACAAACCAAAGTTTCCAAAAGTCTTGCAATAATTAACAGAGCCGACTATATCCTGAACAACAGTGCACTTTCCTAATTCTTCCATATCTAACCTACTGTGTTGAAATATGAGGTAACATTTATAAAATCCTTGAACATTTACTCTTTCATTTTCATTAATTCATTATTAATTAATCATTGCATTTAAATAGCACCTTTCAAGATACCCAAAGCACTTTACAGTTCATTATTTATTCACTCCACACTCTGTGGTGGAAACACACACCACTTTCATACTGGGCAATGTGGGTCAAGTGTCTTGCCTAAGGACACAATGGCACTTTTTGTGACTGGCACCACCTGTGGCTCCTGATTTCCCCAGTGTCTCCCATCCAAGTCCTGACCAGGCCCGGCCCTGCTGAGCTTCTGAGATCTGACGAGATCAGGCTTTGACAAACCGGTGTGGCCACAAAATGTACATAAAAGAGCAGTGTGTAACATACATGACGTCTTCAACACACAAATTCCCTGTTTCTTCAGTAAAAGTTACTAAAAATGTCTTGTTCAATTCTACACAGGACAGGCTGCTGTAAAGCATTTCACAACTTGTTACTACTTTGTGAAACACTAGATGATGCTGTAAGACTGACTTACAGCAGAACTTACTCAGACGTCTTTGGTGTTGGAGATTTATTTAAGTATTGAGGGTTTGTATATGGTGGGTGTGTGGTTCTATAAGAAACAGAAAGTAAATTTCACATTAATAAATGCAGACAAATAAGGAAACATATTATCTTACCCTTGTGGTAGTTTCAGTTTACCACTGGTGGTATTAAAAATAACTGTTACCTGTGGTAATGTGTGTGTAGAAATGCAAACAGGTTTTTGTGTGTGTGGTTTAACACAGATGCTCTGGCAGTGGCAAAATGTGTTGTTGTGTCCTTAGGCAAGACACTTCGCCCACTTTGCCGAATATGAATGTGGTGTGTGTGTGAGTGATGGTGGTGGTCAGAGGGATTGATGGTGCAGATTGGCAGCCTCACTTCTATCAGTCTGCCCCAGGGCAGCTGTGGCCACCACAGTGGTCTACCTCCACTGGTATGAATGAATGAATAATCACCAAACTGTGTAGACAGTTTGAGCATCTGGAAAAACACTATAGAGGACTAATGTGTTATTATTATTATTATTATTATTATTATTATTATTATTATTATTATTATTATTATTATTATTATTATTATTATTATTATTATTAGTAGGTTGAGCGTCAGTCTTTGATTTGTATGAGTCAGTCTTAGACTCAGATCAAGTAGCTTCATTATTGTTTGTTATGCTTAAAATAAAGAGAAGGTTAGTGTCCTTATAGGGACTGAGCTGCATAACAGAAGAAAACAACTGAAATAATATGTCAGTAACAACACTAAAACCCATTTAAATAATTTATGAAGTAACAAAGAAATAAATGGGGAAAATATGAAAACAATACATTACTTTAAGAATAATTTATTGTGTTTAATTTGTTACACTGTCAAAATTATCACCTTCAGGAGTTAAAATTACTTATTTATATATGTGTGTACTATATATATATATATATATATATATATATATATATATATATATATATATATATATATATATATATATATATATATATATATATATATATATATATATTAACATAAATTGTAAATGATTTATAAGGCAAAATGTTTTATAAAAATATACAAATGCATAATTTTAAATTCAAGCATGTATACACAGCCAGATTATGTCTCAGAGTCTGAAGAATTTTCAGTTAGTCTAAACCAGCGGTGATCCTGCTCTGACCCTGTCCTTTGTAGGATGATGACTGACCTCAGATCAGCTCAGACCAAAATAAATGATTTTTATTTAAATCGCTACTTCAGCTGGTTTTAATTTCCTTTCTGGCCTGTTTTGTCCATCACATCACCCTCATAGAAGGGCTCCTGGAGGACCTTTTTCTTCTCCGAAAGCTCCTGTCCTTCTTCCAGAGAATCATTGATCCTCTGGAAAGAGTTGACCTCTGACCTCCACAGAGCGGCTCTGGCTCTGATCCACTTTGAGGTCTCGGTCTCACTGCCCCGGGACAGACTCATGCCTTCATTGGCGATGACAAATACGTCCAAACCAATGAACAGAGCATTAACAATGATGAACCCTCCTCGAGCAGCTTTGGACATGGCCAGAGGACCTTTGAGAGCCGCCTGGCCCAGCTCTGGGACGTCTGAAGCAGCCTTACTCACAGCCCTCCCTGAACCTGCAACTTTAACTACAGCTTTCTCTGCCTTCCACAGTTTAACGACAGCTGAGCAATCAAAGATTGCATCAATGCTTTTCATCCCAGCAGCCCCTTTGCCTGTCTCCTTCAAAGCTTTGAGAAGATCACTGTTTTCTGTGCTCTGGAAATGCTGGTTAATGGCCTCCTTCACACAATTCTGGAGCTCATCCACATCTTTCATAAACCTTTTAAAGACCTCATTGGCCTTTTCCTTCTGTTTACTGGTAACAACCTTCTCTGTAACCATGGTTACTATACCATTGGCTCCACTGGTCACTGCTGTTGCAGCTCCAGCTACAGTCAGACCCAGAGACAATCCTGCAGTGAAAGGAGCCAGAGCCAAACCAGCGATGGCCAAACCTCCTCCCACCACCCCCACAGAGCTGCCCACCACATTGGAGACCCGGGCTCCTTTGTTCATTCGGTCTAACTTCACTGCACAGGGCTCCAGCTCATCCAGGACCTCCAGCATCCTCTCCCTCCTCTCTCGAAACATCTCCATGAAGGTTCCATGTTCGTCCCGGAACAAGAACACCATCCGCAAGTGTTCATCCATCCTGAAAAACAATAATGAAGAATAATGAATGGCACAAAATCAGGATCACAAATGTACCACAAGGTCTTTCAGGTTAGTGTGGACCTTTGCGGCCAAGTACCAGTTTTCTCTTGCCTTTCAAGTCCAGAATTATATCCCTATATTTTAGATTGTTTGTAATTATAAGTTTGTTTCTGGATCCCAGAAAAGGAATACATGTGATAAATTATTGTAAGAGATTTTACACAAATCCTTTACACTACTACTGCTGATTATAGATTATAGATTATAGATTATAGATTATAGAAATAGGGTGATGAGCCCAGACTTGGGGTCCCCTCCCCAACCAGAGTTACAATAATTATGCCTGAATAATCATTTCCAGGTCAGACTGCGAAACCATTTTACAGACTTTAGATACAGTATATTCCTCAGATGATAGAAGCAATTTTTGCCAGTTTTGAGTCACCAAGGTGTGTTTTGATCTGAGGAATTTTGTTTTGGGGAGCAATGATCAGAGTTTGTCTTGTTTGCAGTTAGTCACGTTTTGACAGAAAACAATCTAAAAACATAGACAAAATATGAAACTGTGAATCAGCAGCACAATTGCACGTCATCCCCTTACAAATGATAAGACACTTCTTTGAAACAAGTGAAAAATCTGACCCAGAGGCAACAAGTGCAGCAGAAATAAAACAGGGCCCAGGATCGATCCTTGTGGGACTCGACATGACAAGCGAGACATTTCAGACATTATATTATTGAAAGTAAAAGGGAAAGTTCTGTCTTTGAAATAGGATGTAAGGCACCAGAGGACAGACCCAGAAAAACCAAACACTTTTTCAAGCCGGTCATTGAGAATTTCATAATCAACAGTATCAAGGCAGAGGTCAAATTAAATGCTTGTCTTTCCAGTGTTAAAAGCGATACCATCTTTGTCTTATGTAAAAACTTTCATTTCTTCGATCAGATAACTTGACATGTGTTAACTGATTATCACCTGCAGTCATCTAGTCACCTTCTCCTGAGTCCATCAACCGGCAAGACACGGGTCCCAGAATGCAACACAGCAGGTTTCCTACAGCCTTGAATCAAGTATGAGAGTTCATTACTAGTAGATCTAATGTAGACTGTTCAGGTAGAACTGGAGTGACTGCCTGTCACTTCTGTAGTTGTCCCTTACCCCATTTATTACAATTACAGTTGCCAAACTGCTCTCAGTCTCTGAGCGTTGTAAATGAACAGTGGGCCTCATTCATGAAGCATTCTCAAATTTGCACTTAAGGTCTACTTATGAACATTTTTGGCATTTAGAAAATGTGTTCAATAGAATAGTCTATTTGGTTTAACAGACTTTATGGGCTGATCTTCTACCACACTGGAATCAACACCTCCTCACCCCAACTCCCCATGACCAGAGGGCACTCTTCAAAGTCCTGCACGACAGGACTGCAGGACTCACTGTGGGGACGGGCTCACAGGTGCGCCCGCATAGACTGTCAGGTGACCACAGGCGAAAGGACCGGCACAGAGCTCCGTGCCCCATGGAGGTAAAGCACAGCCGTCGCTTGATCGCGCTTTGCAGACACCCTGCACCACAGACTCGGGGTTCTCTTGCTATTAAGTCCAAGATTAGTCCTGGTTTAGACCTGGTTTAGTCCTGGTCTAGTCCTGTTGTAGTCCTGGTTTAGTCCTGACCCACCTGTGTGTAATTACTAATCGTCCACATACCCGCCTGTAAAATTCCAGAACGTGAAAATCTGCCAGTTTCAGCAACTATTTGCCCGTACCCGGATACTCGACCCAGTGCAGGACTCTGGCACTCACCTCTGCTCCCTCCCTGTTATTTACTGTAACTTGCAAGTAAATATCACCAATAAGTTGGTGACTTACTGTAACTGAATTTGTTTTTGGATATTTTTAATCACAGCTGAAGCTGTAAAACGGTGGTAGTCCGTAGATGTACTCTGTCTTTAGTTTTCATTTGGCCTTTATTTAACCAGGATAGTTCCGCTGAGATTAAGACACTCTTTTTCAGTGGAGTCCAGGGCCCACAGGGTGACCTACTGTACATGTTTTAAGTCGTAGAGGAAACTGGAGCACCCAGAGGAAACCGAAGCAGGCACAGAGAGAACATGCACAACTCCAGAGAGTAAAGCCCCACCCCAGAATCAAACCCAGGACCTTCTTGCTTTCATGTGACTTTCAAGTCCATATATAGAGGTTTAGAGGGCATTTCTTAGTAAATAATATTGATTTTATGTAAATGGGTGTTGTGGTATTCGTAGCTGGACATTGTTGAATTAGGTTCAACTCTCTCATTTAAATCTGCTGTCTGCAAGTTTATTTGATCACCTTGTGTTTGTTCAGGGTCACCTGTGCTCTCTGCTTCTGTCAGGCCAAAGATTCTAAGAAATGTGTTGAATTTTTGAATCTGCTGATGGTGTTTTGTGAGAATACAACAGGGCCAGATATTAAGAGATCTGACTGCCTAAGAACACGTTGTGAAGCTGGTGTAGAGTTCCCTTTTAGAATCTTCTTAAAGTTGAAGTTATGAACATTTTCTAGAGAAACATTCATGAATAAGGAACATTGTCTTTGGTTGACAAGACAAGACAATGAAACCTTAACTGAGCTGTTAAGTAACAGCATGACATGAGTCTTCTACAGATGACTGCAGGTGATAAGCAGGTGATAAGCAGCGTGTCAAGGTATGACAACAAACTCTAGTTTGATATTCCAAATCAAAATCAGCTTATTTTTTGTCAGTGTTAGAGTGATAAGATTTCCAAAACTAAAAACTGAGACACACCCAGGTTTGGGGAGTTGCTAATAAAACTGTGAAAAGAGCTCGTAATCAAACACATTATTATGCACTTGGTCAATTTATGGCTTTCTCTTTCTCAACTTTAAGTGGATTTTTTGTCTTCTGATATTTTTCATGATAGTTTTCTGTATTTTAAACAAATTACAATATAACCTGTATTTATTGACCCCTGAGAGTTTCAGGATATGGTCATCAGGCAGGTAGGAATGGATGAAGCAATAATGACCAAGTACTTTGCTTTTTTTCCCATGTGGAGGTGTTCTCTTCATAAAATAAAATTAGTGTCAATTGAGGTGTTTTTGCAATTTTTCAGAGAAAGTGTAAGCACAAGATGGAGGCGGACAAAGAAATGCCAACTCTAAAATCCTGAAATCTGAAATTTGATTCTCTGCAAACATTGACATAAACTACGTTGAGCACCTCATGTGTCTTTTGTCATGTTTTTATTGTCCCTTTAATAAATACAAATACAATTCTCCGGCTGTTTGTTGAGAAGCATTTTCCTCAAATCAAATTCAAATAGGGGCGAAGCTCATGATATTTTATATTTTTATATTATGATCCAGGATCCATTCTGTTGCCTTGACCTAGTCTTTTTTTCTTATATTTTAATTAATGGTATAAAAGCTGTGGAATAAACATAGTTGCATAAATACAAATAAGAAGTTCTGCACCAGGAACTAAACAACTACAACGACTCATTATTATGTAACAGATAAACCTATGACTCTGTCAATCATCTTACACTGTTTCCTTATGAACTCATGTTTATAACTGTGATCTACTCTATTTATATTACTACATGTGTTTGTGTTTTATTTACTGTATATATGTCCGCTGATATGTCAACTACTGTGTCCAAGTCATTTCCCTTGTGCATCAATAAAGTCTTTAATTATTGAACCAGGCCCAGTGAGCGCTAAGCAAATCTAAACTTTCAGTCTTTTTTTACACATTTCTAATCAGCACCTTTTATTTCTGCCACTCTTGGCTGTCACATACACATTAAAGCTGAGGAACAACCAGCGTCCAACTCCACAACAAACACAGCACTGACATCAGCAAAGTTACCAAATATACTTTAGCAGCTTTTAAACCAGTTAAATGTCAACATTTATGACAATTGAAAACATCTGAAAAGATGAAATCTTCCCTTGTATTCAATGAGAAACTGCCCCTGACATACTTGTCCATCTAAAAATCAAAATCTTATTTGAAAAGGTAAAAAATCTATTATATAGACTCATGACACATAGACTGAAGCTTTTGAGTCTTTATTTCTTGACATTTTGATGCTTATGACTTACGAATAATGAAAACCCAAAAATTAGAAAAAAAGAAAATTTGAATATTGTAAAAAAAAAGCTGAATATTGGGAAGTTATGGTGTCACACCTTAATCAGCGAATGAACTGAAAACACCTGCAAAAGTTTCCTGGGCCTTTATCTGGTCTCAGTCTGGGTCACAGGGCTTCACAAAACTGCTGACCAAACAGATGTCCAGAAGACAATCACTGCCCACCTCCATGAGGAGGGTAAGACATAAGAGGTCACTGCTGAAGAAGCCGGTTGTTCACAGAGTATCCAAGTATATTCACCAAAAAAGTGTGGCAGGAAAAGGTGCACCAACAAACAGGGATGACTGCAGCCTTGAGAGGATTGTCAAACAAAATCCACTCAAGAACTTTTGGGAGCTTCACAGAAGAGGACTGACGCTGCAGTCAGTGCATCAAGACCCACTTTGCACACACGAAACTAATGGGACATGACACAAGCTTTATCATTTTCCAGCAGGACTTGGCACCTGCCCACACAGCCAAAGGTCCCCAAGACGTCTCAGTGACCGTGGTGTTTCTGTGCTCGACCGGTCTGCAAACCTGCCTGACCTGAATCTCACTGTGACGGAGTTGCTCCGTTAGAGCGAGCGCCGACCTAAGCACGCCCAAACAAGCCCGCACCCACAGAGAATCTCTGGGGCATGAGAGAAACACCAGAGCCCAAATGCAGATGATGTGAAAGCCACTATCAAAGCAACCTGCGCTTCCATTACACCTGAGCAGTGCCACAGGGTGATCGCCTCCACGCTACAGCACAAATACTGGCTTCATAGAAATGAACATACTTTTCAGAAGTCTAGCATTTCTGTTTAAAATATACCTTTTTTTTTTTTCTTTTCAATTGATCTTACGTAATATTTTGGGTTTTCATTATCTGTAAGTCATATTCATAAACATTTCAAGAATTTAAGGCTTGAGAGCTGAAAGTTTATGACACGGACAGTGGTCCGTGTTTTGAAAGCAACTATTTTGATCCATAAAAGAAAGGCCCGTTTCATCACTGTCCACGGACCCCAACTAAAAAATGTAATTTATATAAAAATGAACAAAGATAACCAAGGTAACTGACGTACTTATCTGGCCTGGAGGAAGGCCTCCTCCTGCTTGTTTTTCCTTGGGAATGTTCTATTAGCTAAAATATTCCACAGTGTGACAAAAAACGGACTTATCTTTATGGAGAATGTTCTGACGTATGGCTTTAACTTTCAGTTGTCATGGAAACGTGCAGGTGATCTGCCACCACCAGAAAGTTACATACTGTACCTTTAAAGAAACATAAGTAATTACAGTTATTGTAGAACTAAATAACCTGATTTGGCTGCGGGTGTTGATGCGCTCAAGCATTTTTCCAGCGTCATGTTCACGCACATCTAGGTCCAAGAACACCGTGGGGCTCTTCAGGACGAGATCTGCAACAGAGCTGTAAAGAAAATCATTGTACAACTGTAATATCGGTTGTTTAAAAGTGAATGTACGTAACTTTTAATATATTTTTTAAAGAATGCATATTTTTATCCTTTAATATTATTATATATATATATATTTTTTTTAATTATTTTTCAGAAAAGGAAAATGTTTCCTCAGTAGATGGCAGCGCCGTTGTGCTTTTTTTACAACAAGGTATTAGATCAATAACATGATTTAAAATTTGATTAAGGATTAAAAAAGGTTGAGGTCAGCCACGTCGTGATAATGTTTTAGGTTCAGATCAGTCTCTAGGAAATGAATGTCCCATGAAACATATGTGTGTGTTTCTGTGATTTCATACCATTCTTCAAAAAGACTGCAGATGTCCTTAATGGTCCCGATGTACTGATCCAACTGAATCTGCATCACTTCTACATTGTGCAGTTGGGTTTTGAAGAACTCCTCATTGTTCCGTTTGAACAGCAGCACCAGAGGCCCGATGATCCGAGCAGCAAGTATGATCCTCTTCACTGACTCCAGATCAGTTTTTATTGACAACCGTACCACCAAGGTTTTCTCAAACACACGATCTGAAGTCACCGCTAACTTCTCCACCGCATCTAAAAAGATCTGCATCTCACGAAGACCCTCCAGAATCCTCTGCAGCAGGACCTCCAGCTCCGTCTCCAGCTCCTTCTCCAACTCAGCCTGTTTCTTCGATGCTCTTCCTGGTACAATACTGTCTCCTACAAAAGTTCCAAAAGCCTTCGCTCTCTGTTTTGCCTTTTTGACCTGGTTGAATCTGTTGCGGACGTCTCTAGCCTTCTCCGAGATGTTGGCCAAAGTGCTTTTCTCTTCCTCTCGCTGTCGTATCCACTCAGAGCTTGTGGTCGTGAAGTTTCTGACCGTTTCAATGAAGCTGAAGGTGTGTCGGAAATATTCACTCAGTGCCTTCTCCAGTTTCTCACTGAGAACAAAAGGAATGAGTAAATGCTTGTGGTTTTATTAACTTTATGAGCTTTTTGCATAGCAATAATGAGAACCAAAGTAGGGGTGTCAAATTATCGTGTTAATTGTGATTAATAAATTACAGTCATATTTAGTGCGTTATGTTTTTTAATCGTGTTAATCTCATTTTTAATCTCTAACTTTACTGTTTCTGTATGTGAGTTGCCTTATTATAAAATCTGTTTTTATGTGTTGTTGGGACAATAACACATCGCTCCCACAAAGAATTGTAATTTTCATTCCCGTTCGCCGCATCTGCGATAAACCTGCGATCTTTGAAAAGATTGCGACACACACAGAACAGACTCACCTTCAGCTTCAACATCCCTCTGTCACAGAAACAACACTCATATTCCACTGAGTCGTGTCCTTTAGTCCCACAAAAACTGAACCGCATCAGCAACACAAGAGCGTTTTTTATTTTTTTTCTTTTCTCTGCTGAGTTTATGCAAATGAGCCATGTGGTTTTAAGATTTGTTTCTGTGAGACTTGAACAAAGCTGCATTAAAGACATTAGAATGTCAAACAGACTGATGTGGCTCTAGAGTGATGGTTTATTTGTTGTAAAGTTTCATTTATTTCTGCAGATTAGTAATAGTAATAATAATGATGATGCAGTCACTATAATGTGACTGCATCTGTTAAAGTTTGTTAAACAATAAATGACTTTATAAAGTCACTTTTTTTGTTCTATATCAGTCTTTTGATCTGCCACAATAATGTAATAATGAATTTAAATGAAAATACCTCAAGTTGAGCTTTTCTCAGCAATTTTGAGGTGAGATTAAAAAGAGATTGATTAGATTAATTAATTACAGATCATAATTAATTCATCTCTCAATTTTTTTAATCGCATGACAGCACCAAACCAAATATGACCAAACTCTCCTTTTGCTGTAGTGGTGGCTTCAGGACATAATGATCCTGACTAAACATGTAAACCACTGCCACACTGTGCAACACTACAGCAACACTTAACCACTTCTAGTCTGGAGCAAAGAATTTAGCTGGAATCCTGAACAGTAAAGCTTCTTAGACATTTTATACTTGTATTTTATAACTATTCCTAATAATAATAAGAGCCACATTACCTTGAAGCAGACATGTTGC